ACCCTTTTGCAAACCCGCTTGCCTTGTCATATCTGCGCGCCTTAGCATATCCTTGCGACATACGACTTCCATTATCCGACTCGTTCGCGAGCTTACTTGCCTGACCCGTCATACTTTCCAGACATGGTCTCTTAATTGTGTTCTTCATAGCGCTCCGTCAGGAAGCGGATACAAACAGACTGCTGCTGAATTCAATCACAGTGCTATGCTAACACCGTCAAAGACGGCACAACTGCTACTTACGTGACAAAGACATCTTGCCATGTCACGCAGCTTCTCCTCGAAGAGTACGATGTTTTGATTGCACTGAGCAGTTTCTTCCTCGTGGCTCGATACACACGTCTTGTAGCGAATCAGCGGCACCGGAACGGTCGCGCTCGACTCGTCACATGTCAGTAGCTACGGTACAGCAGATCTGCTGACGAGGCGGATCCTCCACCACCGGCATCCAGTACCACCGCATGTAGCGCAACGACAAGTGCGATCAGACGTGTGCAACATGCCGAACGGCCCTCGCGTACTGGCGGTCATTGAGAAATCCGGACCAAGTGCGCGCGGCGCCAGTGTGCCCGCAGAATGGCTGCATGCCCGTCTTTGTCGCTCCACTTGCAGTGCCCATCCCGGTCCGTGACATTGGTCTGGCTCTTGGCCGAATGCCAGCTCCGTCGGGATATACTGAGAGGGGCGCTGCTGCATCGTGTCTGCCATGTTAAAGCCCTAGGAATCCAGTGCCAGTGAGCTCCGGTGGGGTAAAGAGGTGCGGGCGAATCGTCGTGCATCAAACACGCGAGAATGAAGGACGACGAACAGACACTCTTGAGAACCGGACATTGGCAGCGTATGTACGGAAGCGAGAGAGCCCGAGACCAGAAGATATTTCCACGCCACGGCGACGCGAGGCAAACGTGATGTGCTGTCACCGTTGCTCGCTTGTGTCGCCTCGCGAGCTCTTTTCCTCGCTCCTCCGGTGGCCACTTGAAAATCAACCGCTTCCAGCTCAAGTCACAGCAGCCGCGCAACGCAGTCGACCTGACACCAACGCACTTGCCCGCTCTCTCAATCGCTCAATCGCTCGGTCTCTCGATCTCTCTCGATCGATCTCTCGGTCTTTTGGTCTCTCGCTTGATATCTCCTTCGTCCGCGCCAATGCCACTTTCGTTCGAAGATGTCATGCGCGTCGCTACGACTGTATCGACGCTGTGTATGTGCATCAGTCCCCTGTCGACGATAATCCGGTTCCATCTACGCCGCAACGTCGGGGATGCGGCTGTTCTGCCGTACGTCACGCTCTGGGTCAGCAGCCACATGTGGTACGTTCGCACTCAATGCGCATTGACACACACGTCGTACCAGCAAAGACCCGCAGTATCTCGGAGTAGCTCGACCACCAACGCCTTCTCTTCTGTGTCTTCTTGTTGCGTCCACAGGATGCTATACGGATACGTAATTGGCAACATATTTCCCGTCTTCGTCACGTACGCCATTGGCGACACACTCAGCGTTGTCTTCCTCGCTGTGTACATCCGCTGGACAGCTAACCGCAGAGCTGCCATAAAAACGTGTGCCATCGCCTTACTCTGGATCGTTGCGGTGACCACGTACGTTGTGCTATGCAAGACCGAAGTGCTCCAGCAGTCCCAGCAGACGCTGTCGCTAGTAATGGGCATCATCGGGACCAGTTGCAGCCTGGTGCTCTACGCGTCGCCCCTCGCTGCGATCAAAGTCGTGCTGCAGACAAGGTCGTCAGCGTCGCTGCCGTTCGCGCTGATTCTCGCGGGGACTATCAACAACCTGATGTGGGTCGTATATGGAGCCACCGTACCCGACTTGTTCATGGTTATTCCATCCGCCGTCAGCGCTGGAATCGGCTTCATTCAATTGGCTCTCTGTGGCGTGTTCCACCCCTCTCGCTCTGCAGCTGGTGACATTGTGACTTCGGTCCTGCCTTGCGAGTCTCCGAACGGCGAGCTCCCAAAGTGTCGCTACAGCATCATGGAATCAGCCACGCCTTTGCCAGTTACTTACAAGCGCCAAGAGAAAATGGAAGTGGCCGTATAGTGCCACATCCATGCCAATTGCTGCATTACCAGCGTCAAAGGGAGGTACAAGCTCTGACTAGGATTGCGGTCGAGAAGCGCTGGAAGCGCTGTGGTCGTAGATGTATGCCTTCTTGACATCGACAAAGGGAGCTCAGAAGTCCAGCTGCCACATCCTTTTCGCTGGCTGTAAACTAACCGCAATATATGAGTCAAACACTTGGTGCTCTACGACAAGAGACTGTAGATACGACTTCGTCTGCATCGTATGGTGCTCAGGTGGACTGAAGCGTACAGACAATCGTGCAATCTGTCGTCTCTGTCTTTTGACCTGCAAAAGGCAAGCCGACAGGTCGATAGACGACGCTACTGGCGAGCGACCACGATAGCGTGACATTACCATTGCAGCGCTTACGATATACAGCCGATACGGCAGAAGCATGCACAATACGAATGACGTTGTCAAGGTTGTGATTGTGCTTGACTGCGAAGCTTTGTTCCAACCTCAGCTTTTCATGCATGGCCAATGTATTCTCGCTGGCTGTACTTCGCTTTACCGCACTCGACGCGTCAAAGCTTAGCGCTAGTCGATGCGTACAACATTTCGATGCTTTCGCGTGACACTCAGGCATCTCGCTCTTATGGTCAAGCTTGACTACAAGGCTGCAAGTTTTGAAGGCGGTGTTGCAAACGCAATGGCTACGTTATCATTATCTCCTTAGATTCTCTGTTGACAATACATGTGTAAATAACGAGCAGCAAAAAGCAGAGGCACGAGTGAAGCCCATTACGCTTGTCCACTGGACGATCGCGGTGCACGTTTATTGGGCTGTCGAAATCAACGTTACAAAGGTATGTCTTGAACAAGACAGATTTTGTAGCAGCGTAAAGCACACGCGTTTCGTTTTCGAAATCTCCCGACGTGCTGCGCTAGAATCGACGGAACGGCATATGTGCACTGAAGCATAACGGGGATTATGGGGGATGCCAAGACTAGTCAACTTTTGTTGCGAAGGTCAACATTCAGGCTGGAGAAAGAAATCGTTACAACTATGTCATTTATTTGTTAGCACCCAGGCGATGCAAAAGTGCGGCATACGCGCCGTGGATGCTACCAGAAGCGTAGCAGCAATACCTGCAGCTTAGTAGATCGTATTTATACACTTTGTAACACGCACTTCTCGGACGAGTTCTTGTTCGTCGCGTTTACGAGACTGTCGTTTGTAAGTGGCGTGGTGCGTGACCGCCAATATTTGTGATCCCGTGGATTCTTTTGCCTCGTGTCGGTCACGTCACCTCTTTGGCGTCGAATTCCTGACACATCCGGCAGATCGTTGCCTGCATGTGGTGGAGCGCCACTGTGCGCTCAGTGTTGCCGTCCATTCGAACGAGACGCACCACGTTGCCAGCGTTCCTGGAGTAAGCAGTTAGTCGTGTTCAATAGCAGCCATCGAGCAAAACTTTTCTAAATACATCAACACGCACCGCACTCGCTTGTTACTGCCCTTGATGCTCGGCGCTTCATTGTGAGTATCATTGTCCACGGTGCAGTTTTGTTATTGCTGCACTATGCTCGGGCCCATGCCCATGGCGCTGGTAGGAAGGTTGAGACGATATCGAAAAATTGCTTGGATTGTGTCGAAACGAGCCCAATGTACCGGAGCAGTGGCAACCGATGCCTCTTCCGCTAAAAGCCTCGACGTATTTTATTGCCCATTGCTTCTTCCTCGTCGTCGCATCTGAGTTTTGTGCAAACATACAAACGAAAGTCTTTGTGTGGGTCGTGCACTAAACAGCGCAGTATCACCCCCAATCGCATAGCGCCCTTTCCTGCCTACAACCTCTCGAATACTGCTAGCCGACTACTGTTGACCGAGCGGCACGTATTCGCACACCTCTTCCAGTTTTCTGATAGCGACGAGAAGTTCCATGTACGTGACAAATTCAAACAGCACCGCATCACATACATTTTGCAGACACGGCAGCATGTCACTGCGTCATTTAAGCGTGCGACGCGCAAACTTATGCTCTTTGGCCATCACAGTGGCGTCAATTCCGGAACCATCGACCAGTTCCTCCACTGACCTTTGGCAGTATTTTGGGAACTGCAGTTCTTGTCGGCATCAGAGCGTACGTTTTCATCATGGTCCAACGTACTTACTTGATGTCGCTTGCCAGTCATAGTGTGCCACAGCTGCATGGGTGACGTTCACCAACAACTTCCGCACGGATCGCCAACTATGAGGTATCATGCACACGGCCTTAGTTTACCTGTCCACAAGTCAAGTGTGGAGACCATACATGTCTCTACGTTTCGCATAGCTGCTACCCACCAATTCAACATACAGCAACCGTCACGTTCACCCGAGTCGTCAGCGAAGCGATGGCATATTGTTATCGTGGCCAACGAGTGCCTCACACAAGTCTCTCTCCTTTACTTGGCCACGTCAAATTGCAGGTGCGTAAGCTTCTCGCTGAACGCCCAAAGCTTCGCAGCTGCCGACTCGGACTTGCTCAGCGTCGACGAGTCCACGCACGCAGGTGAGCCGTACAACTCGAGGTACTTTGGTCCGTAGTAGCTGCCACCCGAAACCGAGTCGCTTGTTGCCGCATACAACGTCGACAGCGCTCCTTTTGCAGGACTCTGCGGCGTGGCCATGGCCACCGTGCGAAACATGAGCCACCACAGCCAATTGTCGCTGTTCGTCTCGGCCGCTTTCTTCATAATGTTCGTGTCGCAGTATCCCGGATGCGCGGCCGTTGCAACCACATTGTTGAGCTTCGCCGCTTTCAGTCGCCGGTCGAGTTCCCGCATGAACAAGAGGTTGCACAGTTTCGAGACCGCGTAGGTGGCAATCTGTCCATACTCGTCCTCCTTCGTGACCATAATCTTGTCCTCGTCAAAGAACAACGACGCGTGGCGGTGGAGAAAGCTGCTGACCGACACAATCCGCGCAGCTTCGCTCGCCTTCAGCAGGTCAAACAGTCGCGCCGTCAGCGCAAAGTGGCCCAAGTAGTTGGTCGCAAACTGCAGCTCGTAGCCATCGATCGTCTTGGTGTACACGCCGCCAGCAATGCCGGCGTTGTTGACCAGGATATCCAAGCGACGATGCGTCTTCTTAAAGTCCGCGCAAAACTTGTGCACGCTGCTCAGATCGGCCATGTCGACCAGCATAAACATAACAGTCCCGCCGTCACTGCTCGACGTCAACAGCGCTTGCATGTCGGCTTCGGCTTCGAGCCCCCGCTCGCGATTGCGACACGCCAGCACCACATGCGCACCTTTGCGGGCGAGTTCCAAGGCCGTGTGGAACCCAATGCCCGAGTTTGCACCCGTAACGATCGCAACTTTGTCCTTCTGCGACGGAATGTGCGCAGCGCTGTAGTTGCTTGGGACTTGAGGTTGTGGGACGACCCCTTTGCTCAACGGCCTGCCCATCGGCACTCCAGCGCACCTGTCGAGACCGCAGCAAAGTGCCAACTGGCGATCGATCGCGTGTGCCTTCTGCTCGTGTTCTCACTTGTCGAACGCGGACGTGGGGACATGGGGACATTCACTGGGAAGTGGCGTGAATTGAGCAGCACCAACGTGCCAACCGTTGACGACTTGACCGGCTAACTGCAGCAACCAGAGACTCGACGCGATTGAAGGGTTGCGATCCATTCGTTAGCTGCCTTCGCCTGCAACGAACAGCACTACAGCGCCTTCACGCAGTGCCGAGTTGACAAACCCGTCATAGCACACACAGCTCCGTCCGTCGGTTGCGCCCGTTCAAAAACAGCTCTGCCGCTTGAGCGCTACTTGTGTCCATCAAACGACACGTTTGCGAGTCGTTCGCTCAGGGCCCACAGCTTTGCTGCACCGGACGTGGACTCGCTGAGCCGACTCGGGACCTCTCGCACGGGGTCCCCAAACATCTTGAGGTGCTTTGGGCCATAGAAGTCGCCGCCTTTGACGCCCGGAGCCGTCGCGGCCAACAGCGTGGGCAACGCCCCCATGGCGCAGCTCTGGCGCGGACACCAGTCCGTCACCTGGAACACGAGCCACCAGAACCAGCTCGAGCTGCTCTTCGCAGCGACCGTCACGAGGCTCGAGGCCGTGACTCCAGGATGGCACGCGACGGCCGTCACGCCCGTCACGCCTTGGGCGGCCAGTCGACGGGCCAACTCCTTCGTGAAGAGCACGTTGCAGAGCTTTGTGACGCCGTAGGTGGCCATCTCCTGGCACGCGTCTTCCGTCGTGACCACAATCGCGTCCTCGTTCCACGAAGCCGCCGAGCGGTGCAGCACACTGCTGACGGTCACGACCCGCGACGGAGCGCTCTGCTTGAGCAGTGGCAGCAGGTGCGCCGTCAGCGCAAAGTGCCCCAAGTGGTTCGTGGCAAACTGCCGCTCGACGCCGTCCGCAGAGCGCTGAAACGCGCCGCCCATGATCCCGGCGTTGTTCACGAGCAGGTCGAGTCGCGCGTAGCGGCGCGTGAAGGCGGCGGCGAACGCTTTGACGCTGCGCAAGTCGCTCAGGTCGAGTGGGGAGAACTCGACACGCCCGGCGTCCGGTGCAGTAGCCAAAGCCGCGCGCAGAGCGGTTTCGGCCTGTCGCCCGCGCTCGGCGTTGCGGCACGCGAGGACGACCGACGCGCCGTTGCGGGCGAGTGCGAGCGCTGTTTCGTAGCCGATCCCCGAGTTGGCGCCCGTGACGATCGCCACTTTGTGCTGTTGCGACGGCATGTGCGCGACGTCCCAATGGCCAGCGGCGGGTGTCACGTCACGGGAACGAACGGCCGACATGGGGAAGTTCAGGTGGTATACAGTTGTTGCAGTTGATGTTGCAGTTGATGGTATAGCTCTGTGGCCGATTACGAAAGGAATGGCTCTGGTGCGGGACGAGAGAGAAAGAGGCGATGACAGTGAGAGGGGACAGACGAATCGGCGCGTGCAACGACAGGGGACATATGCGAGAGACGGTGAGCTTTGATGCAAAGAGGTCGTCAGGTTTACGTCGAGCTTCGGGACATTAGCGTGCACCGAGTGCACGACACGTGCAGCTTTTTCGTTGACGGGTTGGACGTCCATGTGGCAGTCAGTGGGCGTGTGAGGCGCTAGAGCCGTTGGCTGCTCGTTGCAAGGCGAGTAGACGAGGGACAAGCACACGTGTGGCCTGGTCTTGTTTCGGCAGGGGGTGGGGGGTGGGGGGAGGACCGTTGGTGAGCTCCGAGCGGCGTCTACTTCCCCACGAGGAAGTTGAAGATGTCGCCGTCCTGACAGACATAGTCTTTGCCTTCGGACCGCAGGAGGCCCTGCTCTTTGGCTGCGCGCATGCTGCCCGCCTGGACAAAGGCCTCGTAGCTCACGGTCTCTGCGCGAATGAGGAGCTTTTCAAAGTCCGAGTGGATCACACCGGCCGCAACGGCTGCAGTCGAACCTGCGCGGACGTTCCACGCACGCGCTTCCTTCGCCCCCACAGTGTAGTACGTCTGCAGCTCGAGCAGCTCCTGACTCGCGCGAATGACCTGAGTCAATCCTGTCTCGCTCAAGCCGCTCTCGTGGAGGTACTCGAGCTGACTCTCGTCGTCCTCGAACGACGCCGCGGCTTCTTCCAGCGATCCCGACACTGTCAAGCACGCGCTCCCTTCGGCTTCGACCCGAGTGCGCACAGCGTGCGTCATGTCGTTGCCCGTCGCTGCGTCCTCTTCCGACACGTTGCACAGGTAGAGGACCTTCTTGGCCGTGAGCAGCTCGAGGCGCTCGAACTGCACTTGCTCGTCGAGCTTGTCAAACGTCACAGCGCTCGCGAGGTTCCCGTCTTCCAAGTGCGGCTGCAGACGCTGGAGCACCGCCAGCAGCGACGGCATCGTCGGGTCGGTCGATCTACGGCCAAACACGACACACGCACGCCGACACACGTGAGCAGTCTGGAGGTACTACCTACGTCCCTAATAGCCCCTCCCCATCATCATCATCATCATCGTCATCATCAGCGCCTGCACCGCCACGGACTTTGTCTTCTTGCCGACACTCATCAGGCGCTTCTCCACTGTCTGCAAGTCGGCGAGGATCAGTTCCGTGCGAATGGTCTCAAGATCGCGGATCGGGTCGACGCACTCGTCGACGTGGAGAATGTCACTGTCCTCGAAGCAGCGCACCACGTGGGCGAGCACTGCCACCTGCCGAATGTGGTCGAGGAACTTGTTGCCTGTCGCGTCGCAATGGCAGCAGTTGCACGAGCACCAACGCGTGTGCATTAGTGGACCCCGTCTTCACCGTACAGATACACCAGTGCACACACGACCCACCGAGTCCTTCGCCTCTCGACGCTCCGCGCACGAGACCCGCAATGTCGACAAACTCGAGCTGCCAATGGACACGCACCCCCCGCCACGGTGTGTGTATGTGTATGTGAGTGTATGTGTATGTGTGTGTGAGGTTCTGATCAGTCACGTGGGGCAGCACCTGCAAAGTCGAGTGCGTACCTGCGTCTCAACGATCCGCTTGGACCGCTCGACGTCTGCCAAGTGGCGAACGCGACTGTCCGGCACCGCTACGCGCGCGGCGTTGGGGTCAATGGTACAGAACGGGTAGTTGGCCGCTTGCGCCACTTCGGTCCTGGTCAGCGCATTGAAGAGCGTCGACTTGCCGACGTTGGGCAGCCCCACGAGGCCGACGGAGCGCTGGAAGCTGCGGCAGCCAGAAGCGATGCGGATGACGACACGGCAACGGGGCAGCATAACTGGTGGTGCAGAGAGAGAGAGAGAGAGACTACTACTACTACTACTACTCCTTCTTCTACTACTCCTTCTTCTACTACTACTACTCCTTCTTCTACTACTACTACTTCTTCTTCTACTTCTACAATATGGTGGTTTGGAATTACGGATATGTCGCCAAGACGACAGGGCAGGTGTCGCGACAGAATGATAGAGAAAGCTTTGCGTACCACGTGATCGAGAGGAAAAATGCCAATGGAGTTGTCTGCAATGTTTTCCTCTTGTTTTAGGCATTGGCTTACGTCGAGCTTTGGGTCTATTCGCCGACATGAAAATCGCCGATGGGATACGCGTCGGAGCTGAAACTGCTCGAATCGAAAGCGGGACCGCTGAGCGTAGTATTGCTAGTGTTGGGTGGCAGCAGACTATGTCGATCACAGTTGCAGGACCAGACACTGACAGATCGATACTTCTGTTTCGTCGGCAGTATCGTCGCGAGTGCTGGTATGTCCGCAAGCACGACCACGTTAGTTTGTCCAACGCTGCTGCACTGGAGTTCTAACTGCAGAGCTTTCTAGTATACAGATTGTTACGACTGTTTGTTCTAGGAAGGCCAGGATCAGGCAACGCATGGGCGCCGTCGTGGCCACTGCCATGACCTCACAAGCATCAACGAGCTTCCACAAGCGATAGATGTTGAGCGTACGACTGTCTTTTCCACTTTCCAAACCTTTGTTATAATGGCACAAATAGATGCGTTCTGCAACACACACTCAGCACACATGACGTCTGCTCTCTCACTTGGTTACGCGGACGATCCTCTGGCGGTAGAAATTGTCATGCAGCGTTGCAGGGTGTCCATTTTTCCTGTAGACCAGCAACTGCTTTTCGTGCAGTCGATCCATTTTGTCCAAGTACACACTAGCAGCATGACAGACCTTGCGCAGCTCGTCACTCTCCAGCTGCTCTGCCACGAGCTCTTCTCGTCGCAAGATCCTCTTTGCCCGCTTGAATTTGCCCAACTGCAGCGCGTTGTACATGAGATTCACTCTGCATTTGCTCTCCAATATCGGATCCTGCAGTCCCATGGAAATGCCAATCTGCAGCTTGGCCAACAGCGTCGAGTGGTTCAGATGGCGACACAAAAAGTGGCCACCTCCTAGCGTCGAGACGTAGGCGTTTGCAGTCACTAGGGCCACCACAGCATTGACAAACGCGACAGCACGTCTAGCCGACGCCATGTACAATGGCAATAGCTGCTGCGGGCGGTACGTAAGTAGCACATACATCCAACGACGAGGTCTGTCTCGTGTCTCGGCCACAAAGTAGTGAGCGCTCGCATCTTCCCATTGCTTTTTGGGCTCCAACGTTTGCGTCACAAGGACTTGACACCTGCCGTTTGCAGCGGTTGTAGAAGTGATCGAAGCCAACAGCTTCAAGAGCTGCTGCGTCTCGTCTGGGTACATTGCAGAGCCTTTCGACGACAACAAGAACGTGAGGAACTGGAAAACGCCTGCGTGGGCGATAGCGACGCTGCTGTAGGACGTAAAAGTGGTATTGGTAGATGCACAACCATCTGTGTGCGAAGATACGATGCGTTTGAGATGCCGAAGCGTTCTGCGCTCCTGTAGCGGCGCCTCGAACGCCACGACGCGCTGGCGGATACTTACGGCGACGCTCGTCATGTTAAACAGATTTGTCGCATGACGCTGATTCGTGGAAAAGCAGGCGGTGTGGTTTGTAGCATGACGTTGATTCGTGGAAAAGCAGGCGTTGTGGTTTGTAGCATGACGTTGATTCGTGGAAAAGCAGGGTTGTGGTTTGTAGCATGACGTTGATTTGTAAAAAAAGCAGGCGGTCTAGTCTGCACACCTATGATTTTGATGCAATCGAAACCGAGAGCTTGATCTTTTCAGCCAATCGTAATACGTCAATTTTGTTACGATGTTGTTGTTGTGCACCGCGCAGACCTTATGGCGGGTATTGACTGTGTGTGAGTGTGTGAGTCCAGCGATCGAATATGAGACAACATGTCGAACATGTGTATCGAAACGTTTATGTGTGCAGTCGTCGTATGATCGTTTGCCACCGCGACTTTGCTCGACGCGGATGGATCGTCTACCAGCGGTGCGCCTTCAGCGCCATTGATCGACGAGCAGACGCGCGAGCTTTGGTAATATGGGTATGGGTATGGGCTATGGGATGACGGCCCTGACTTGTTCCCGCTTCAGTACATACGACTTGCCCGTGGCTACATACTCTGCTCAACGATCTCTGTATTGCTATTGACGCGCACTTTGCTCTATGGAAAAAACATTGAGCATGCAGTGCAGCTGAGTGGCACCGATGCCAACAGCTTTACATGATCGACCAGCGGCTTTTGGCACAGTAAGAAGAATGTGGTCCAGCAGTGGTCAGTTTTCTTCCGGTGCTATTGTGCTGCACCAACGTCTCGCTTGTCCACATTGTCGCACGCCGCGCGATTTGCACGTTAGCGCGTAACTAATTTGATCGATCGTACTACAGGTTGCTCACCCTAGTTCGACGTTGGCTTTGTCTGGCCATACCAAGGGCTCAATTCTTGCGAACGCTCCCCTCGTGTGCTAGGAATGAGACGCTTGGGAACAAACATGGGAAGATCGAGTTGACTGCGCCATGACGCACTAAACCAATGTGCCCCGTGTTTGTCAGGCCGCCAAATATCGATGGTTGAAACGTAGATATTCAGCCCCTCGAATTCATATTTTGGCGATTGCTTGATGGTAAAAGGCAAAGTAAATGGTGATAGCGAGATCCTTCATTCGCAAACGAAATGGCTATGGGAAAGCCTACTGATACTAATGGAGTGGATGACCACTGCGACCTTATCTACCGTTACGTCACATCGGTTCGACACGTTATATGGACATTAGACAAAGTACCATTGTCTGATCAACGGAAACCTAACGCACCATTGGGTCCGGTACTATGCTGGCCCAGCTGATCAGACAGAAGACAGTGCGAGGACCAGTGTTCTCTATCACGACTCGTGTGCACAGGTGTGGCGACGCACTGCATGGCTACAGCAAAAAAGGCCTCAATCGGTGCACGCCAATCCATTCCCACCAGTTGCACCACCTTCATATAGTCAGCTGCCGCTCGCGCCTGTCAGTGTGACAACACGAATCCTAAAGCTAAGATCGATGTAGACATTTGTATGGCTCAGGTTGAAGCGGTCCTCGACCTGGATTCGGACTCGTCTTCGCATCGCATCGCATCGTCCAGCCCTCTGGCCTTAGGCTCATCGTCCGCACACCAAGATGACTACGATGAGCTGGATCGCTACAATAGAGCGCTTCGGCGGCTGTCCGTGATCTTTGTCGAACAAAAGCAAAGTCTGTGCGAAGCCTCGTTCGCTGTCTCTGCATTGCGCACCTCACATCCTCTTCCAATGCCATGCATTTCCTCCTTTCCACGTCACTTTAGAAACTTTCCATCGCCTGCGCATCGATCGTCCACGATGACACTTGCTCTTCCAGCTCGTCACGAGCTTCGCAGTACTCGTGCTACTGACAAGTGCCCGCAATGAAGATGCCATCGTGACGCACCTGCCTGGTTTGGACCTCCCAGCGCTGTCGTTCAAGCACTTCAGCGGTCATTTGGAGCTGCTAAGCAGCGAGAAGCTCTTTTACTGGTACGCCGAGAGTCAGCACGAGCCTGCAGACGCCCCCATTGTGCTGTGGCTCAATGGCGGTCCAGGCTGCTCATCGCTAGGCGGTTTCTTCACGGAGAACGGACCTTTTGTCGTACAGCGCGATCTGTCCATTCAGCTGAACCGGTACGCGTGGAATCGGAAGGTGAACATGCTGTGGCTCGAGTCTCCAGCTGGCGTAGGCTTTAGCGGTGAGGTGCAGGACCGTAGTTACTACAACGACACAGTCGTTGCTGCCAAGACGCGTGAGTTCCTCAGCCTCTTCTTCAGCAAATTCAGTGAGCTCCAGAACCGCGACTTCTACATCACGGGCGAGAGCTACGCTGGCATGTACATTTCCTACCTCGTGGACCTGTTGGTAGAGCAACCGCTGCAAGGCGTGAACCTCAAGGGCTTTGCGATCGGAAACCCGTTCACGGACAATCTGATCGACGGCAACGCCTACGTCGACTACTACTACTCGCACGCGCTCATGTCGCTTGAAGCTTACGAGGAGATCAAAGTGCACTGTGGGGAATCGATCGGCTGCCTCTTTGATGGTTTGCCTTGTCCGATTAAGTGTGGAGAGCTCCTACAACGGGCTCAAGCGGAAGCCGATGCGGAGGCACTGAACCCGTACTTCATCTACGGCGACAAGTGTCTGCTGGATTACACGCAGGCAAGGGCGTTACGTAAGCGGGCCACGTCTGTCGTGCAGCTGTCATCAACGCACCGGGGCGACATCGGACCTTGTGCAGACTCACTTACCCGCGCGTACCTCAACCAGCCAGAGGTGCAAGAAGCCATCCATGCAGCGCGACTGGGTGGCCCGTACATCGACTGGAAGGACTGCAGCGATCCAGTTTTCAATCTCTACCAGTCCAGCTCCTCGTCGTTGCCACAGTACCGCAACATTCTGACCCACGATCTTCAAGTGCTCATCTACAGCGGCGACGCAGATTCGATCGTGAACTTCATCGGTACGGAGCGCTGGATCGGCGGTCAAGGGCTGAAGTTGCGCATCAAGTCAGCGTGGCACGCTTGGTTCGGACCGGACAAGCAGTTGGCGGGCTACGAGCAGCAGTACAAAGGGCTGACGTTCAAGACCGTCAAAGGCGCTGGCCACATGGTGCCAGCCGTGCGTCCGCTGCACGGTCTCTACCTCTTCGAGTGCTTTGTGTTTGGCCAGAGCGCCTGCACTGAGTTCGCGTATCCCGTCGATAGCAACGAGGTCGACGCTGGACTGACTGTGGTGCAGCAGCAGCACGTGGACATGGCAGTGCCTCTCACTGCTATCACGAGCGTCAACGACGAGTCCAAAACGTCGTCGTCGTCGTTGTCGCTGGAATGGCTGGCACTGTCAGGTTTCTGCGCATTGATCGTAGTCCTGGCAGCTGTCGCTATCCGCAATGCCAAGACACAAGGCACCTTTCAGCGTCTGTGTTCGAACGGCTACCAAGCCGTCGAGTAAGTCTCATCAGCTTTACTTGCAATCGGTCATTGAGCCTCTTTGCCAAGTAATATACGCGTAACTTGCATTGTGTCGAACTTGTACCACGTAGTGACAGATGCATCTCGTCCTGCTATCACACTCGTGCCTTCGGACGCACAGAACGCTTTTGCTTACGGAGCAAATAACGCTACCCGTTCCCATATGTCACATCGCGTGAAACGAAAGTGTCTGTTCTGACAGCAGATATCTGACTTCTGCTGTCGTACGCCGCCCCCTATGTGACATGCCCCGAGCGTCACGTGGATTTCGATTATTTTTTGACAATTAGTCAGCGTCATTGACATCGTTTGTGCTTACATACACTGCTTTATTGCTATGTAATCGTCGCCGTGAGCTGAAGGTCTACAACGAAGTTCGTGTCGGGGTGCTCATGTATAATTTTCGGACAGATGTTTTGTGACGGACTGAGCTCGTTTTTGTGCCATTAACATGATGAATTTATGTATTGTGAACGCGTTACACAAGCCGTCGGGCCCCCACAGTGGGTCAACTTCCGCATGCGTCGGGTTATCTCTCCTTCGCTACATTTCTCTCTACTCTCGCCAGGGTCCATGAAGCGCCGCGAGCTATAAACACTGCGATGAAGGCCTTCCAGGCTACACGATCCTGTGCACATTGGCAAAGGAAGTACAGACCTGGGGCCACTCGACGGCGGTGTCCAGCGGTAGGTTTCTTGCGTCGATACCTTGGATGTCTATCTTGTCAACAGGACCCAGGGAGGGTCCCTGTTGCTTGCACCGGAAACAAAGGAGGAAGCGAGCGTACCTAAGCGGAGATGCCGGGACTTCGGGGCGTCCGGTGTGACGGCGTACATCGTGGAGGCTCAACTGGCGGCTGAAGGGAAAGCAACTAGAGAGATGTGTAGAGGGAGAGGAACCCGTCCAAGACTGAAGGATTCCGAGAAGGCCCCGTCGGAGGCCTGAGCAAGCATAATGCGGTTGATACTGATTTGGGTTTAGTAAAGTTTAGCCAGCACGATTACGGGAGAGGATTGGAACCTCCAGAATAATTGATAAATACAACGGCGCCTATCCATTAGACTATATTTTTATATGGAAACAGTTGTATCACATTCAGGCCACGTCACTTCAATTATCACAGGACACGCTAAGTATAAATACACCTGAAACATGGTTAGGCCACGATAATACAAAAAGTAATCCTA